AACCAATGACCAAGTCCTGTTCAATCTAACTGATGTTCCTCCACATTCCTCATCATCTTTTGCTTTGGGCTGTTCCAGCACCAACTTCACTTATTCTCTGTGGCTCTTTCTTCTTATAGCTCTTCCCCTCTCCCCCAACAGAGTCACTTGCCAAAACATAGGTCTGATCACATGGCTGCTTCACTTAAAAGACTTCCCTGGTTCCCCAAATTGCTTTGTTTAACATAGAATTTCCTGCAAAATCTGTCTCAAGTTCTTTGTTCTAACCACACGAGACTGCATATTTCCCAAGCCACAGCCAAGTTAAGACCTTTGAAGGTTCCAAGCACTGAAAACATTTTGGCCCCTCCCACTGTCTCACAGGTTAACGACACTAATCAGTAATTTAACATTTTATTGTAGGAAATCACACCACACTTAGGCATAAGCTGAAAGTAATGAGCACTTTTCTAGATTTGTCTGAATTTCTCTTTCCTCTCTAGCACTGCTCCAGCTTCGCTAGTGCCCCCAGGATATGTTCAATCTGACTGTTGGATTGTGTAGCACTGCCCTCCCCACAAATCTGACTCCACTTTTGTGCAAAAGTTGACCTCTGGCTGGAAAGTCTATCCTCCTCTTCATCCATTTAGTGAACTGCTTGCCCTTCAAGGTTTGGCTCAAATGTAACTTCCTCTATAAAGCTTTCCCTGCCGCCCCCGCGAGTATTGATCACTCAGCCTTTTGGTGGGAACCTTTGCAGCAGCACTTGTTCGGTTACAATAAATTATGTGTGTCTCGCATCCCTGCTCAGATCCCCATGTATTATCATTAAGTCCTCACAATGACCATATCATATTAAGGATTGGGATCCCCATTTTTTACGGATGAGTAAACTGGAACGTCTGTCACTTATCTCACACAAGCTATTATTAAGGTCTCCTGTGACGATGAATATAATTAATTTATAAAAGACAAAGAGCCATATAACTGGAAGGCATTGTTATTTTTGATACATTACTCTGGAGTGTGGAAGTAAGTGTTCACATTGATATTTTCTTCTTGACAATAGTGGAGGGAATTTATGATTCCCACATAAGGAAATCCTTTTACTGTTAATTAAAATAAAATGTTAAGAATGCTGCTATGCTCAGGTGCCATGAAAATAATGAGGATACTCTATCCCACACATTTCAGGTTAATCCCCTCGCCCCTGAGGAATAGCTGAGACTCGGGTCTCTGGAGGTGAAAGGCAAGGCTAAAGCTGTCCCTGCTTGTGCCATGTTCTCCCCTTTCTCTCATGCTTTGTTTTTCTCACTCTCATTATTCTCCATGGAATTGTTTTAGTAGAGTTCAGCACCATCGTATCCCAGTAAGAAAAACATTGTGGGGGATAAGTATCATGAGTGGTGCACAAAACAGCAGTAGCGATCTTTTAAGTTTATTATGGAAGCAAAGAATATTGCCCATAGAATTTAACCTTTGGCAATGAAAACAAGGATTTTCAGCAGAATAAATAAGACTAGTTTTCTTTCTCTCTGGGTCTTACGTGTGTTTTATTGCTAGCAAGCCTTTCGATTTAACCAGTTTCCCAGCCAAGCTTTTCCTTAATTAGCATCAGGAGTTTCATTAGCTATTTTATGAGTTATTGGTTAGAGATCCTCATTAGCTTTGCCGTGGTCTTAAACTTATCTTGACATTTACTATCTTACTATATAAAATTTTATGGTTAACTCTCAGTATATGCAAACTAGGCCTCTGGTCATCACATTTTTTACAAGTGTACACACATTTTACAGAATCTCTTGTATCTTAACATTTCCTTTACAAATTTTATATAAATTACTGGCATCCAATTTATCAGGCTTCCTCATGTTGTTATACACATAAATAAGGAAAACTATTTATATATCATTCAGTTATAGTAGATCTTTTGAGAAGTAGAAAAAACATCAAGGATTCATGTTTCTGCAAAATAAAATAATTTAATGAAATTTTATAATTTGGCTTTATCACCAAACTTTATCATTTTTTATTGTATACTTTTGAGCATGTATGCTCAAAGTATTGTCCAGGGAGCAGGGAATAAAGTAATGTTTCTGCCTCCAAGTCACTATGTAGTGAAGAAGAATTAAATGCCTAGTTATCTAGGCATATTTTAGTTCAAAGTGTGTTATTTTCCCTTTGTTCCACACTCTAAAACAATGCAAGACAAAACGCCACCATCCATGCAATAATATTCTTTTAAAATTTTGTGTTTAACCATTTGCTTACTGTTTTGTTTTTCATTCCATGGATATGAGGGCCTAAAATGTGCCAGAAATTAGAACACATTGATGAACAACACAGAAATGTTTATTATATTCAGATGAAAAGGAAATTTAGTCAAGGTAAAAAGTGTAAACAGTAAGGAAAGAACCAATTTCAAGTAATGATTAGTGCTACACTATTCCCTCAACAATTAGTATTATTATATATTTTTTTTAGCATGGAAGGAGTTATGCAATTTATTGAGTGAGAAAATAGGCTGTAAAATATCTTTGCATCATAAGATTCATTTCTTTTTATTTTCTTATTTTATTGATTTTTTTTACAGAGAGGAAGGGAGAGGGATAGAGAGTTAGAAACATCGATGAGAGAGAAACAGCGATTCAGCTGACTCCTGCACACTTCCCACTGGGGATGTGCCCACAACCAAGGTACATGCCCTTGAGAGAAATCGAACCTGGGACCCTTCAGTCTGCAGGCCAATGCTCTATCCACTGAGCCAAACCGGTTAGGGCAAGATTCATTTCTTAAACATATGTACAGATATGTATAGACAAGATGTGTAAAGGGATACAGATTAAAGCATTAACAGTGATCTCTCTGGGTGATGGAATTAAGATGAGTTTGGGGTTTTTTGGTTTTTTAAAATTTATTTTTATTGTTGGAAGTATTACAGATGTCCTCCATTGACCCCCTCCACCCTACTCCAGCACCCTCCCCAAAACAGTTATTTTTTGAGTACCTACTCAGTGCTAGATGCTGATCTATAAAATAGGGTGATGGTGAGTAAAGGGGGGAGCTGTTTTATATTAGCTATTCAGGGAAGCCTCTCTGAGAAGGTGACATTTGAACTGAGGCCTAAGAGACAAGTAGAAACAGAAGAGTTTCCTAATCTGAGTCCTTGGAGATTATGGATAGAATTCAGGATGGGAAATGTGGATGGGAAAAATAATTATATATCTATTTTCACTAAACTCAGACAGAAACTTAGCGTTTTCTTCCATTTGAATGTAGGCAACAAACCTCAGTAGTATTAGCAGCACCTGTTACTTTGTGATCAATATTTTCATACCGCATCTCAGTTCTTGCAATACTGTCTCACATTGATGTTTCTCTCTCTCTCCCTCTCCCTCTCCTATCTTCTCTCTCTCTCTCTAAAAAAATTAAAAAAAAAAAAACCTCAATAAAAATCAAGAAAGTTGAGGGGGTGAATCACACACAAATAAAATAGCCAGACATTTTGCAATACCGTCTTTGCTTTGAAATTATGGTACAGTCGTGTGCCACATAACAATGTTTTGGTCAACGATGGACCGCATATGTACAGTGGTTCTATAAGATTAAAATAGAGCTTAAAAATTACTGTCGCTGCCGTGGCCAGATGGCTCAGTTGGTTGGAGCGTCATCTGTACACCAAAGGTTGGGGATTCAATTCCCAGTCAGGGCACATAACTAGGTTGCAGATGCGATCCAGATTCGTGCACTTAGGGAAGGCAACTCATTGATGTTTCTCACATCGATGTTGCTCCTTCTCTTTCTCTCCCCACTCCCTTTTTCTCTTTTCTCAACTAAATTAAAAAAAAACAACCCATATCCTTGGGTAAGGATTAAAAAAATTCCTATCACCTAGTGACATCAGGGCTGTCCTAACATAGTAGGACAATACATTACTCACATGTTTGTGGGGATGCTGGTATAAACAAGCCTACTGCACTGCCAATCATATAAAAGAATAACACATACTAGTACAATTATGTATAATACATAATACTTGATAATGATAGTAAATGACTATTGTAGTGGTTTATGTGTTTACTATACTTTTAATCATTATATTAGAGTGTACTCTTCCTACTTATATAAAAGAAGTTTGCTCTGAGACAGTATGCCGTGTTATGCCGGCAGCAGCATTAAACACTTTGTAATTTCCTTTATAAAATACATCTTGTATTTACTGTGTCTCTTGATTGAATCACGTTCTGTTGTATTTTATTTACCCTTGTGTTGTTTTTGTGCAGTGCAGTAGCATGCTGTACAGGCTTGTAGCCTAGGAGCAATAGGCTATACCAGTGGTCGGCAAACTGCGGCTCGCAAGCCACATGCGGCTCTTTGGCCCTTTGAGTGTAGCTCTTCCACAAAATACCACGTGCAGGCGCATGTACAGTGAGAAGTTGACTTAAAACTTTAAGTAAAGTTTATTAAGTTAATTTTAGGGGACGTTGTGGAGGGAAAGAAGATGAGAAAGGTATGTTGAGATGGTTTGGACATACAGAGAGGATGAACGAAAGGAGATAGAAGAAACAAGTATACAAGACGAGTGTGGATGGGAGAGTTGGAAGGGGTCGACCTCAGCGAACATACCTCAATCAGATTCAGGATGTTTTTAGCAAAGGCCAGCTTAGGAGTACCCTAATTAAGTCAATAACAATGTACCTACCTATATAGTTTAAGTTTAAAAAATTTGGCTCAAAAGAAATTTCAATCGTTGTACTGTTGATATTTGGCTCTGTTGACTAATGAGTTTGCCGACCACTGCTAGACCATAGAGCGTAGGGGTGTAGTAGGCTGGACCACCTAGGTTTGTGTAAATGCACTCTGTGATGTTCACGCCACAAAGAAATCGCCTGAAAACAAATTTCTCAGCATCTATTGCCATTATTAAATGGCAGATGAGTATTTTTAACTACCCAGACTTTACACTTCATACTACCTAGAATGAGAAGGGTTTGTATTGATGGTTTATTGTATTGTTTCAGAACAATGAAATGATGGAGCTACAGCGAATCCGGATGAAGGATGAAATTCGAGAATATAAATTCCGAGAGGCCCGGCTCCTTCAGGACTATACTGAGCTGGAAGAAGAAAACATCACGTTGCAGAAACTTGTGTCCACATTAAAACAGAACCAGGTAAGATTTAAGAAGTTATTTGGTTACACTCCAGATGGACCACGTCTTCGGGCATTAAGGTTAAGTCTTCTTTTTATTTCTTTGTTAGGAACCTGTCAAACTATGCCTTAATCTCCCTACAATATTTATGTGCTGAAATTCCCCAGCATTTCTATTTTAGCTAAGAAATTTCCCAATCCTTCTATTTTAGCTAAAATTTAGAAGGCAAACCTAGAAGTTGTATGATTTACAATAAAGTTTCATTGGGTAAGAAAAATTTCAGTTTTTACTTTAGCTCGATGTTAACTTTTTTCAGGAGTAAATCATATGTATTATAATAACCTGAGAACTTATTAAAAACCCGATCTATAAGCTTGTTTTGTATTACAAACTTAAGGTCTCCCAACAATCCTCTCTCTCCCTCTCTCTCTCTCCCTCTCTCTCTCTCTCTCTGAAAATTACATTTGCATTATATAAGCAAATGGCTTAAGAAATATAAAGCAGTAAGAACAAAATTATAAGAAAAAGAAAATGCCTGATTTCTTTTTTTAGCTGTAACCTGACTAAACAGATTGCATGTGTACGTTTAAATAAAACTTTTTTGGTAGTGAGGCTTAGCTTAATTGTTTAATTTCCCGTTATTAGTTATAGCATTCTTGAACCTGTAATTTTAGAAGAATTTATTTATGAATACAATTTTATCAAGTAATTAAGCAAAGCTGGATTGTATATTCAAGATCTTTTCAAGGTGCTTCTTCAGCCACAACCTTTACTCTGATCTAAATGCTATTGTAACTTCTCAGTTCAGGTCAACACACTAGGTACCAGGCGCTGTGCTAGGCTAGAAAGATATGAAATCCATAGGATAGCACTCTTGCCCTCAGTAGACGTAAAGGTCAGCACAGATGTGTGCTTCTACTTCTACTCATTGGTAGCTCGATCCCAAACTATTATTGCTTTTGATAGATACAGGGGTTAAGAGAAAAAAGGAAATATCCAGAAGGAAAAAAAATCCAGGTATTGATACAATTGAAATTTGATTTCTGATCCTTGCCATTTCCCCCATTTTTGGAATGTGGGGGAACAAGATGTCTTCTAAGGAGTGCGGGGATGACTTCAGACCATGAAAAAAGGGTTACCAGGATGTCACCATGTGATCTTACCTCCTTCCCTCCCCCTTAAGCCTGAATCACTGTGTGTGCCCGCGGAGGGCTCGCAATACCATGGACATTCCAGCTCTTGCTTTGACTGGGGTCACTGAGCTCACAGTGGAGAAAATCATACTTCAAAGAATTTTTTAGAAACTATGCTTCTCATGAACTTCTTAAAATAAGAACGGTCTTTTTTGTGGTCTGTGTTTTTTTTGTTTGGTGGGGTTTTTTTGTTTGTTTTTTGTTTTGGTCGCTCATGAAGTATGTAAAGGCCTTGAAGCAAATATACTTGAAGTGTAAATATTTAAAGCGGTGATTATTTGTGATTCCTGAAAGTCCTCAGTGCTCTCTGCACAGGCAGGAGTGCGCCCAGAGCCTCGCTGCGGAACCTCCCATCCCTGCATGTGGCAGACTCATTTACTCAGGAGGTTAATTTAGGCCAGTATTACGTATTCTTGAAAGTCTGCCAAGGTATCCTGTGAGTCCTCATTAACCCAGATGCCGTTTCGGTGGGAACGTGTACGAGCAGTCTGGCAGATTACTGTTTACAGTTTACCCGTGCCCTTCCACCGGTAATTGAAACGTGGGAATCGAATGCTTAACTCAGAAGTTTGAAGGAAAAAAAGCAAGTAGGAAAATGCATACATCTCTTTAATTTTATTTTCTAGATGCAATATGACAATTTCCCAATTAAGTGTCTAGTTCATTAATTTGAAATAATTTCCCTTACAAAGGGCCATTCTGGCTTATTCCCTGACAAAGGGGTACACTGTCATGTCACAGTCTCTTCCAATTAAGGAAATGCTGGTTTGGTTTTTGTCTCCTACTGTTGGCCTTTATTTATAGGAGTTAGCATCTATTATAAACTCCCTGTATAATTAACGAAATATTAAGTATAATAATTTATGCCACAGATTTTTTTTTTCCAAACAGATGATGATGGTTGACTTTCAGTTTCAAAATTGGTCTGATTGTTGCTTTGAACTGAAGCTCTCTATACAAAATATACTCCCCAGCCTGGTTTGATACTTCTCTCAGCAGAAAGCTGTTAGCATTGTACAAGACTTAGTTGAAAGAACTAGAAGATTCTTTCCTTCTGATGTTCCATTTTCCTTATTGGTTATTTTCTTTAAAAATGTTGTTTAAATAGCACTTTTTATTTCCTTTATAGTTCCTATGTATTGGTTTGTTTATTTTCCATCTCCCTCCACTAAGATGTAGCACCTCACCTAGAATAGAGCCTGGCCCATGGAAGGCATTAAATAAATACCTGCTGAAGGAAATAATAAATTGTTCTTAAATTTCTGTTTCATTCACTCTTCAACTGAGAGAGGAAATTATAATTCACCAAACCAATTTTTATATGTGCTCCTAAATATGAAATATATGGAACATCATCAACGAGTTGACTGCAAACTGGAGCCACATCCCTCCGTGTGCTGATTTGGTTCTGTGTCCAAAATGAAACCATGCTGAATGCATTCCCACCTTTATGCTTTTTAGAACAAAGCAGAGCATAGGAAAAGCAGCAGTGATAAAGAGCGGTCAGGGCAACTGTCAGAAAAATCCACTGATGAAGCAAAGCTGTTTACTAGACCTCTTGCAAAAGAAACCGCCTCGACAAAACCTTAGTAATGTCTCAAAATGGGAGTGTTAGGGAAGAGTGTTCACAGGATTTTAGGATCTGGACTGGGTTTTGCCAGGTGGCAAACTGATTGGGATAGGCCGAGTTTATGACATAATAGCTTTGAGTTGGAAAGTACAACAGAGTGACCATTTTGACGTGAGTCTTGAGGAAGCTGTGTTAGTTGGGTCTCATCTTCCAGGAGCGAGTAGTCCCTGTAAGCAGCTAAGTTTTTTATGCCTCGTCCTATTATTGGTAACGGGGGCGAGGGATAGGAAAATTTGCATGGTTGCAGTATTAAACAATTACTTAACATAGGGCAGGAAATTATGTTAGTTTTAATTTTTAGAGATGTGATGGTGAAAGAAGGGGAAAATAATAAATTCTATTTCCCTAATATCTCACATATTGAATTAAAGCACTCAAATATGTGTTATCTAAGCATTGGAAACACTTGTTAAAATTAATAATTCAATTATACATCTATTATGAAAAACATTTCTTCCAGGGATATATTACTATATCAGGCAATACTATCATAAGAGATCTAGGGAACTGTTGTTCAATTCAGTTTGATTTCATTGAACAGTATTTCCAGGTTATCTATAATAATAAAAGCATAATATGCTAATTAGACTGGGCAGCCAAATGACCTTCCGGATATCCAGATACGTCATTCCAGATATCCTTCCGGACGAAGCCACAGTGGTGGGGACCGAGGCAGAGGCGGCTAGGGGCCATCAGGTGAGCAGTTAGGGGTGATTCTCCCCTCTCAGAAAACTAGAAGCCCTGCCCTGTGGAGGTAGTGAGCATGTCTGCTTTATTCTTCACTATATCTCGGGCTCTAGATAGCAATACCTATTTTGTGAATCCTATATAATAAAAGGCTAATATGCAAATCGACCGAACAGTGGAACGACTGGTTGCTATGTTGAGCACTGACCACTATGGGGGAGATGCTCAACATAGGAGCTGCTCCCTGGTGGTCAGTGCACTCCCACAGAGGGAGCGCCACTCAGCCAGAAGCTGGGCTCACAGCTAGCGAATACAGCAGCATTGGTGGGAGCCTCTACTGCCTCCATGGCAGCGCTAAGCCATCAGTCAGACATCCCCCAAGGGCTCCCGGACTGCGAGAGGGCATAGGCTGGGCTGAGGGCCCTCCCCCCCCGCCCCCGAGTGCATGAATTTCATGTACTGGGCCTCTAGTTTTTCTATAAAGCCATATACTTTTTTAGGGAAAAAAGACATGGTCACTGGCTCAAAGAACATATAGTCCCAGAAGGAATGCAGGTAATAAACTCATAGCCCTCCATGTAGTTGCATATTAAAGCTTGTGTTAGTTTTGGCAATACAGGCCACATTAAGATCTTTAGAGTTTCGGACTTTGAAAAGATTACAGTACCTATTCCCAACCCCCATGTAGTAAAAAAACAAAAGAAGCTACTAAACTATCAAGTTGCTATAAGGAATCCCAACAAAATACTGATTTTTTTTCTCATGGTAACTACTTTAATACTGTTTTAAAAATATTGGACACCAATTTTTAAGTGCCTTCTCATCCTGTTTCTTGGTTGATACAGTTTGCTGGAGCTCTAATTATCCGAGGCCTCCTTGCAATGATGGCACGTGAAGGAGTGAGCTGTTAGCCTGAGTGGGTCAATAAGGACTGGAGTTAGGATTAGATTCCTGATTTGGGTCTTGAAGGATAAATAAGAGTTTTCCAGATGTTAGCCTTTGCCTAAGCAGAGAAAGACAAAAATATCTGGTTGAATATTAGGAGCTTGAACCAGTGAGTGGAGTGAGTGAAGCTGCCCAAATAGAAAGAGATCAGGTGTCATAGGAAGTCTACCGTCAATTGAATACAAATCACAGAATTAAAAAATCTACAAAATACACTAAATTTATGTCATCAAGCCCAGGACTCAACAAACTTTTTTTTTAAGGGCCAGAGAGTAAATATGTTAGGTTTTGCAGGAAATACAGTCTCTCTCTTGCAACCACTGCACTTTGTTGTTGTAGCATGAAAAGCAGCCATAGACAATATATAAACAAAAAAAGTGTGACTGTGTTTGACTAAAACTTTATTTACAAAAATACATGGTGGGCTGGATTTGGTCCAGAAGGCACAGTAATGTTTGAAAAACCCTGATCTAGGTTATCAGTTTAATAGGGATTAAAGAATAAAAAGGTCTGTAATGCAAACTAATGTCTGCAAATGTAAGCTGTTATACAATCTGGGGCAGTCAGAGGATTGGTTGAAATATTAACTAAGGTGTCCTGAATTGTCCAGGGAAAGAAAAGGAGAAGGTCACGATGAAGACAACTTCATAGTATATAAGCAGCCCTGGAAGAAAACACCATACAACATGCTGTTATTCCAAGCAATTTCCATGACTTAATTCTTACAAATAATATTATTATGGACCTGTGAAATTTCAGTGACCCTGTAGAGCAGTAAGTGTTGGTTGTCCATCAGTATCCGTTGTTCCCTTCTCCCAATGTTGTATCCAGTTTTTAACTGGGCACTAGTCTACCCAGAGTAAAAAGTATATTCTTCACCTCTCTTGCAACCAAGTGGCATATGACAAGAACTGGCCAGTGGGATATGGGGAGAAGTGATATGGACAACCTTTGAGACAGGTCCTTAAGGGAGAAGGTATGCCCCTTACCTTGTCCCACTGCTTGGAACATAATCAAGATGACAAGCCACCTTGGACCATCTGGACCAAAATGAGAGGTAGTGCAATAAGATAGAAGGAATCTGGTTCCTGGATGACCTCATGGAGCAGAGATTTCTACTGATCCTTGATTGACTATTTCCATAAGGGAAACAAACTCCTATCTCAACTAATCACTCTTATTTAGGTCTCTGTTATATCAGCCAAACCTACAGCCTAACTAAAACTATATTGAAAACTGTTATCCTAATCGTTGCAAGACAAGCCATTGCATTGAGATTATGTGAAGAAGGATGGTGGGGGAGGGGGAGAATTAGAAATGTATGAAAGTGATAATGGTCTATGACAGCCGTGGGCAAACTACGCCCCATTTGAAATGAATAAAACTAAAAAAAAAAAAAAGACCGTACCCTTTTATGTAGTGGTGTTTACTTTGAATTTATATTAGTTCACACAAACACTCCATCCATGCTTTTGTTCCGGCCCTCCGGTCCAGTTTAAGAACCCATTGTGGCCCTCGAGTCAAAAAGTTTGCCCACCCCTGGTCTATGATCTCTACTTTTTAATTTTTAAAAGCTTTTTAAAAATACAAGTATAAACTAATACAAACAAAAGTAAATTTAAAACTAAACACATAGGTAATGTTAGTGCCTCATATCATAATGACTTTATTATATTATTTTTTCTACTCAATTTTTTTTATCCACAATTGCTTATTCAGCAAATACTTATTGCAGAGCAGAATTCTGTTAAAAACACTATAAGGAAACATTGAAGCATTAGAAAGGACACCTAGTGCATAAAAAGTCTTTCCCCTTCCTGAGGAGATTACAAGGTAGTTGTGCAGATAAAATATTTATTGAAAAGTGCCTGTGAGAAGTGCCGTGGAAAAGGCCCCAAGGAAGGCATGTTGGTTTAGAGTAGGAATCTTTTCCCTCTGTACTTTCATGACCGGGAGGGTGTTCGAGCAGGCTCTTATTTGACATAATTCAAAAGAATATTACATTGATAACAATACTATATATATATTATTGCATGATAGGTATTCCAGATTCTATCCTTAAGCACATAAAATTTTCCTTTGCTTCCTCATCTTACGTTTAAACATTTTTATTGAGATTATGTTTTTATTGTGATCTTTTAACTAATTTATCTCTGGGTATAAAAATTACTTCATTAGTAATAATTAAAGAAAACCAAGTAATAGTGATGATGAAATCTTGGTTGTGAATAGTCTCATAAACAATTATGAAAGAAAAAAATCCCCGTTTCATTAGGCCAGCAGTGCCTCTTTTGACCATTGGACCCCATAAAAGAAATCCTTAGACAAAACACATTTTCATCTCTGCTAAGAACTGAATTTATATTGATATGTAATTTCTAAAGAAACCATCCTGTGTTACTGTAAGGGTATATTTACTGTGTTCTTTATAGATTTATTTTGTAGACGAACGTTTTGATTTTTTTTTTTTTAATGATTAGGTCCACTAGAGTGTCTAATGGCAGTTTTGTAAGACGCAAATTTTAGTTTTATGAATCTTCTCTGTCCTATCTAATTCAGGTTGAGTACGAAGGCTTAAAGCACGAGATTAAGCGATTTGAAGAGGAGACGGTGCTGCTGAACAGCCAGCTGGAAGATGCCACCCGGTTGAAAGAGATCGCTGAGCACCAACTGGAAGAAGCCCTGGAGACCTTGAAAAATGAAAGGGAGCAAAAGAACAACCTGCGGAAGGAGCTGTCCCAGTACATCACCCTCAATGACAACCACATCAGCCTCTCCGTGGAGGGGCTCAAATTTGCAGAGGACGGGAGCGAGCCGAACAATGATGACAAAATGAACGGCCACATCCACGGGCCCCTGGTGAAACTGAACGGAGACTACCGGACTCCCCCTCTGAGGAAAGGGGAGCCTCTGCACCCTGTGTCCGACTTGTTCAGTGAACTGAACATTTCGGAAATACAGAAACTGAAGCAGCAACTTATGCAGGTGAGAATTTTGTTTAGGGCCATGAGAATGAACTTCTTATAGATTGTATAGCATGTTGTGGGATTTCTTATTCTTACATTTTAGCTCCAGATTATTTTTTTTTAAATACTGCTTCTTTAATTAGCAACTTTGAAAGTGCAGTATTTTATAAAGACACAACAGAAGAAGTGTTGAGACATCTCATTTGCATTGCTTTAAGAAAGTTTTTAGAGCCACAGATCAGATCGCAGCCAGGAGGCAGCTCCATGCGCATCTGACAAAAGAATTCAAAGACTTTCTATACAAGTGAAATGACGGAAAATTATCCTTTCCATCTTAAGCATTTGTCTATTGTCAGCATAAGAAACATTCTTATGAGTTTATTCTTGTGAGTTTATTTGAGCCAAACTGCCGACAGCTGCTGGGAAGCGAAATCTCAACGGATTGAGCTAATGCTCTAGAGAATGCCAGTTTTGCACCGTATTTTATACATTATAATAAAAAGAGGAGATATAAGTAGGTTACATGAAATCCATTGGTGGTAGTTTAGGGAAGTGGGGAAAAGCAAAGCGGGAAACTCTGGGATTAGATGAAAAATAAAATGATAGGCACATACATGTTTTATTTAAGTGGGTACACAGAATAGTTACCATTCAATTAACTCAATAACAATGAGGGGATTTGTGGTCTCCGCAGAGTGGTGCCTGTGCTTTGAGGGGTCCAGAAAAAGGAAAATTACTTTGACATTCCAAGGATATGTTATTGTAGATGCAAAAAGACACAATAGACAGGCTCAGTTAAAGTAAAGATTGACTTTTGTCAGGGCAGATGCTGGCCTAGGACATGATTACCTGCCAAAAACTGCTTTTAGTTAAAAAGTTTTCATTTCAGACCATCCTTTGTGGTTACTTTAGGCCTCTGAGTTTGTAAGGCCACCTTGCAGGCCTTCCCTGAGTTTATCAGGTTAGCATGTGGCCTCTTTTAATCTATAATATATAGCTTCAAGAATAGTGGTTGTAGCCCTAACTGGTTTGGCTTAGTGGATAGAGTGTCGGCCTGCAGACTGAAAGGTCCCAGGTTTGTATTCCAGTCAAGGGCACATGCCTGGGTTGCGGGTCATTCTGACATGCAAGAGGCAGCCATCAATGATTCCCTCTCATCATTGATGTTTCTATCTCTCTCTTCCTCACCCTTCCTCTGTGAAATCAATAAAAATATATTAAAGAAAAAAGAATAATGGTTATATTTCACAGCAATACTTTAAGCTTTGGGCTTTCTATGTGCTAACTAGCCAGGAAACCATATGATTAAAAATGCAGAACAGGTATAAATCTAAAACCAAGGAATTCTGATCCCAACATAAGCTAGGCCTTAAATTTTAGCATATTCAAATTAGATGTCTTGTGTAGAGTCCCATGTCCAAGCTAATCTCATTGTAAAATGGCCTACTTTGAGTCTTGCCTATATGCTATATACCTTAATCCAGTGCTGATGGAAATCTTATCTGGATAACATCACCACCATCACCATCACCTGGGGGCTTAGCACTACAAATTGTTGGGCTCCACACAAATCTACTGAACCAAGAATCTGGTTTAACATATAGCTGCTAATTAGAGGCTGTTAAGACTCCAGCAATCATTTATTTGTATAGTAAACAGAACTTATAATTTCCTACCTCTACAGAAATGATGAATAAAGAATGAAATTAGCAGAAATAAATAAGATGCTAGAGTACAAATAAAGTTAATTTATTATAAGGCTTACTTTTAATGCTACATCGATTGAACATATCCTGCACGTCACTTGCTCAGTGGGCTGCTAAAAGAGAATGTTTTCACAACGTTGCATTTGAATCAAGGAAAGAAGGCATAGCCACTGGATGGAATAAAATGAATTTCATATAGACTTTTACCTGACTGTAAAGTCCACTTCTTTGCAGGTAATACTTTCCCATGTCTTGTTGCTAAATGTACACTAATACAAGTAGGTTGGTATTGAAGGGGAGGGGGAATTTCTGCTTCTTTCCTTCTTAGTTTTTCTGACTGGCCTACCTAAGAATTAAACTGACAAGAGAGAGAGCCCTGGCCAGTGTTGCTCAGTTGGCTGAAGCATGATCCTGTACACTGAAAGGTCACAGGTTCGATTCCTGGATCAGGACACACATCTAGGTTGCAGGTTCAGTCCCTGTTGGGGTGTGTAGGAGAGGCAACCAGTTGATGTTTCTCTCTCACATAGATGTTCTCTCTCTCCCTTCCTCTCTCTAAATTCAATATTCTTAGGTGAGGATTTCTTTAAAAATTGACACAAGAGAGATTAGTAGGAGAAAATAGCCAGGTTTATTACGTGTGTACATATGGGGTTCCATAAGAACATGGGGCCCGAGGACAAATGGGGCAGTTCTGGGCTGAGGGAGGGGAGGCAGGGCACTGGGAGGTCAAAGGGAAGGTAGGCAATTCACAGGTAGGTGAGAACAGGGAGCATTTGGTAAACAAATTCTAACTGGGCCACAGCAATGGAACACAGAGGGTGGGCTACCAAACAGGCTTTGCTCGGTTCCTCCCTGTCTGCCACACTTGGTTCATATTAAGTTAAGGCGATAGCTCCCTTCCTGGGTTCCTTTAGGCAGATAAGAAGGAGGAAAAAGGCTCTTCTGGAGTCTTTTGTTTCTTAAAAACAACCAGTTTAAAATAATCAATAAAATATATATATGGGCAAATGCTGCTTCCCCCACCCCAGTGGGGTCAGTTGTGGCACTGGATGATCAAACAATAACAGTTGTGTGGTGAAACGTGAGTTTTCACACCAAGAAGAAACAGTGAGGACCCTAAGAGGTCTCGCTTCAGTCAGGTGGAATTTTGCTGCTCAGGGAATTTAGTTCTGTCTGAATGTTGCCACCAAGTGAAATAACGATAAAATTTTTACTTAAAGGATTTTGAGAGTGTGGCTGCCATTCGTATAGCAATCGCTGTACTATTAGACAGCTCTCAATCTTGTGTATCTCAGTTTATAGCCTCAGCATACTTTGATGTGCGAGTTTTTCTTTTCATCGTTCCCTTTTCCCGTAGGATCTCTTTTGGCCAGGGTCCAGAGCACTGCGTTTGTGCCTTCACATTGAACACCTGCACTTGGTTAATGTTGACAGTTTGTGAAGCTGTCAAGGGGCACAAGCAGGGTTATAACACCCTATGCCAGGAATGTGCAGCGTTTAAGATTTTCTTCCTAAGGATTAAAGAAACCCTTTGGAAACAAGATACCCAGGCCAAAGCCTTTTCTTATCTTATAAGATTCCATCTATGCACGTAAATGATGTTTTCCCACCCATGAGTACTTACTTAATCTGGTTCTGAAATGGGAAGGAAAAAAAAATCTGGTTTCTGCCTGGGGCATCAGGAATGTTGGGTGAGTTGCTTCACGTCTCTGAGGCACATGCATAGAAAGAGAAAGGTGATAAATTAGCCCCATCACTAGTCTCTATGATGCCTCTGTTGGAATTAAAGGGGAAAAGAACAACAACAAAAACCAGTCCCCTTCCTCAAGATGTCACACTGCCATCTGCTGGGAAAAGATAATATAAAAATCTAGGACAACTATCATTTAAACAGTGCCCCCTAGCATTGTGTGGTGTACAATAGTGCCCCCTGCAGAGAATTACATTGAAGCCCCGGAGAGCATCCCATCCAAGCCTCCTTTGTAGAGCTGTTGTGAAGACTAAATGGATGGTAAATATGAAACCAGGTATAAGTCACAATTTTTTTATAAGATTGTACTGGAACCGTCCATTAGTTTTAGAGGTGTCAAGAAGATTGCCACTTCCACTTTATATAAACAGTCAATATTGTTAGGTTAGGTGGCTCAGGAGGCGGCGAAGGAAATAAAGAGAGTTGATCAGAAAAGGAAGGAAGGAAGGAAGGAAGGAAGGAAGGAAGGAAGGAAGGAAGAAAGGAAGGAAGTAAGGAAGGAAGGAAGGGAGGAAAGAAGGAAGAAAGGAAGGAAAGTTTATTCTGCGTCCCCGGGAGACACACGTACCCCCAAAGACAGGGCATGTGGATTCACGCCGACAGGGAGGTGGGCACTTTTTTTATACTGTGGTTGGGTGAGGCGGGGACATGGCACTTTTTTTATACTGTGGTTGGGTGAGGGGCGGGGACATGAGCTGAGGTATTCAGCTGAGGAAGTTTGAGCTGCAGGGGGTCAGCAAGGTATTCAGGAAGGAGTCAGTATCTGTGTGGGGGTCGTGGAGAAGCTAGTATCTGGGTCTGGCATGCTGATCTGTTAGAAATGCCAGGGGGAATCCATTATCTTGTCACACGTCTGCATGTATCCGATCCTGGGCTCTCTCCGACCTAACAAATATATAAAGCATAGAAAGTATAGGAAAGGGCAAAGGATGGTAAGCCTATATCTATATATGGGGCTGTTTTTTTCCCCCAGAGAAAATCAGTGAACATTTCACTGAACTGTATTTCTTCTTGGGTATGCAATAAATTACAGGAATATTTTAAATTTAGCCAGTCATGCTAACTTTCACATAACACAAATCCATATGAATTAAAATATATATATAAGAAAAATACATATAAGAAAACATTTTAAAAATAACTTTAAATTTTATCTTTCAATTACAGTTTACATTCAATATTATTTTGTATTAGTTTCAGGTGTACTGCATAGTGGTTTGGCAATCACATACTTTACAAAGTGATCCCCCTGATATTTCCAGTGCCCACTTGGCACCATACATAGTTATTACAACATTATTGACTATATTCCTTGTGCTTTATTTTACATCCCCGTGATTATTTTGTAACTACCAATTTATACTTCTTAATCCCTTCACCTTTTTCTCTCAGTCCCCCAAGAAAACTTATTTTATTCATCTAAGAGTCCCTATAAACTTGACAATAGACCTTGATAGTGAACAACTCAATTAGCATCATTCTTTATTCACTAAGAGACATTTTCAGGGTATTATTGGATAAATTATTTTGGCTTTTTGGTGCTCTTTAGACTCAGTTATTTCCAATATATTACCATTGACATTTTCCAGTAGCAGTCAAGTGCCTTAATGAGTTTTATTAGAATGAAAAGAAGTAGATCCTGTCTGGGAAAACTAAATTACCTAATCTATTTAAAGGACTCTCTGTGCTTCTGCTAAAATTTTTACCTTAGATAAATAGCCTTTGTTTAACTTCACAATACCAGATATCAAGCTACCAGTATATTACAAAGCCATGATTCTCAAAACTGCCTGGTACTGGCACAAGAACAGACATATAGACCAATGAAATAGAACAGAGAACCCAGAAATCGACCCAAGCCATTATGCTCAATTAATATGTGACAAAGGAGGCAAGAGCATACAATGGAGTCAAGACAGTCTCTTCAATAAATGGTGTTGGGAAAATTGGACAGATATATGCAAGAAAATGAAACTAGACCACCAACTTACACCATACACAAAAATAAACTCAAAATGGATAAAGGACGGGAAACCATAAAAATATTAGAGGAATCCACAGGCAGCAAAATCTCAGACATATGCCGAAGCAATATCTTCACCGATACAGCTCCTAGGGCAGCGGTTCTCAATCTTGGCAACACATCAGAATCACCTGGGAATCTTTTTAAAATCCTGATTTCTGGGCCTCATCCTCTGGAAATTCTGTTTCTTTGTTACTAATGTTGTGGCCCCAACCCATAACAAATAGTTTAAGCACTGCTCTCTGACTCTCTGAAATCCAGATACAATTAAGCTTAAATAGCTAAGAGAAAATATAATTCTAGAGTTTTTAGAAAATTAGCCATAACTTAGTAATTTCTTAATTTTAATTTTTATTTTTTGGGTCAGACCAACCTTAATTATCTGGAAAGTGTGTGTGTGTGTGTGTGTGTGTGTGTGTAAAATTTGGATACCATTCCATTCTCAAGTGATTTCCCCAGAAATGTATTGAGTGTGGAAAATAGCACTGTATGTGGAGTGTAGGCACACAAGAGCAATGTTCTATTTGATGTTTTCTGGAGGTGCTATTATGAAGGAACTGAGAGACTTATCCTTTCAGACTTAGAACATGTTTGTGTTAAATATGAATTGGCAGAATTCAGATGGAAGCTCTCCTAGAGGCATTACCTCATTCATTATAACACTTTTGCCTCTCAAACAAGCTTTAGACACAATCAGTACATTTTATTCTGGTCCAATTTTTATTTTACTTTACTTAACCCTATTTTATTTAAAGGCTTTTCCTACTATAGGGCTTTTTGGAGGTAGCTTTGTCTTTTGTAATCATGTGTACTAATCAAAATATATTTAGACTTTCAGAGCAAATTCACTTACTTTCCAAGAGAAAAAGGAAACAAAACTCCTGAAATAGTCCATTTCCATTGAGATTGTATATAATACCAGTAGTACAATACTGAGAGATTTTTCTACCCCCTTTATAAAAAATTGAAATGATTTTTGTTTTCATCTAATACCATATTATAAAGTTTCCTGGGTTTTTCACTTAAAATTATTGCCCAATAGTCCAGATAAGTCAATTCATCTTTAGCTATTGAGATATAATCTTTTATATCTAAGGAAACCCAGCTAAGAGGATTTGTATTCAAATATATCCTGACTCTGAAATGAAAGAGTTGCTTTGCACACAGATTCAAATTTGTGAAAACGGATGTGTTTGCCATGTGGAATCATGTTGGTCATGGGAACTGGACCACAGTTACCAAATGTTAACAAGCCACAATAATAATAAAAGCGTAATATGCTAATTAGACCAGACGTTCTTCTGGACAACCTCTGGACAGAGCCGTGGCATCGGGGTCCGAGGCAGCTGCTGCTGTGGCGGGGTCTGAGCCCCTTGCACAAATTTCAGGCATTGGATCTCTAGTAGCTAACATAATACCTGGAGCATTAAATTCGCTATCTAGCCCAGCCAGCATAGCTCAGTGGTTGAGCATTGGCCTATGAACCAGGAGGTCATGTGTCACTTCCTGGCCAGGGCACATGCCCGGGTTGCAGGCTTGATCCCCCAGTGTAGGGTGTGCAGGAGGCAGCTGATCCATGATTCTCTCTCATCCTTGCTGTTTCTCTCTCTCTCTCCCTCCCCCCCTTCCTCTTTGAACTCAATAAAAATACATATTGAAAAATCCACTATCGAAATCATCAAAATGTCATTATTGTGACAGTTTGTCCTCCTCTTATAGATTACTAAACTGAAGCTTGCTCAGAGGCACATAGCTAAGTAAACGATGGTGCCAAGATTTGACTCGAGTTCTCTGATGCTGCAGCCTCAGTTTTGTTTTTTACCTATAATACTATTTTGGGGGGATATTTTGGTTTCTGTAGCCATGATACATAACTTGTGGATTATGTTCCTGTCATAGATATGGGCAGGCACTATTTCATAAAATCACAGCTACTACTTAGGAGCCTCTAAATAATAATTTAATGTAACAAAACTATATTTTAAGTTCTAATATACATGGCCACACTGTACAGGCAGTCCCTTGCTTTGCATAATATTGTAGAAACATAAATGTGATTAAGCAAGCTGAAACTATGCAAAACAAACTTAGTAATGAGGAAATTACAACTGTTCTGTGATCTTTAAATTTTTTTGTTAAACATTAAAACATTGGTTATAAATGTATAGAGAAATGAAAAAAAATAGTAAAACTACTTAGTACACTGTAATCTAAAAATTAGAAATGAAGTTTTCTTTGTAAAAAATTTACCTCGGAAATCAAAATTTAACACCCTCCGCCCCTTCACAAAAAAACACAAACACACAGGGAAATTAACTTTATATTTTGCAGAATATCAAAGCTATTCAGGCTTTTAAATAAAAATATAACCCCTCCCCCCGAAAAAAACTTATCAAGATCAATTTGAACTTGCCTTCTTCTCATACTATAACTTGTAATACTGAGCGAAAATCTTTCTGATGCCTTGACAAATCGTCATTCTCCTACCTAAGTTTAGATCAGCTTCTAACATTTTATCCTTTGCATTTTCAATGCCTGAAAATATCTCTGAGAGTGTCTTTAGTGTGCTGGTGTCACTTCCTTTAGGAATTTTCATCCTTTTTATAACAACCACATTTTTCGTTTTTGTACATTCTCCTTTGCCAAATTGCTTTGACGCATATCTAAAGTCCTTCAACATTATTAATGTCCAGACTCCCACATTGAACTGTTTCTTCTATAACTCCATTTATGTTTGATTCAAATATCACCACCAACATTTTCAGTCTGTGTTCCTTTGTTGCCCTTCCCTCCCTTCTTCCCTCCCTCCCTTCTTTCCTTTGCCAATTCCCTCTTTGGATGATCTATTTCTATAAAACATCATGTGGTTTTATCACTGTGAGACAAGAAGACAAAGCTACACACTTTGCTATCTATGAGTGAACTGAATCACAGATACACAGTAACCAATCACCGACAGACTTTGTATGAAGTCATGACCAATTACGTGATTGGTCACTGGTCATGATGTTACTATGTAGTAATTTTGTAAAGTGTCAGAGTTTGTACTTTACATTTGCTCACAGTTAATATATTGGTTACTGAAATTTGAACTGTGTTTTGGGGGGACCGATGTTTTGATTAGTTAAAACTAATGGTCAATGAATTTCATCCATATTAGATAGAACCTTGCCAAGTGAGTACTCTCTGTACATGATAATTATATGAAGGCTATGAAGTACCACAAAGGATCATAAAAATACTACTCTACTGTATTATGAATAGGTAGATATCTTTTAAAGTAATATGTGGTTAAAATAATAATTATTATAGTTTAATAATTGGTATTTATTATGTACTTATAATAATACTTGCCTCCTAGGAATTTAGAAGAGTTTAGAGAGATATAATGGATGATCCAGGAAAGTCTGAAAGTTTGAATTGATAACTTTCTCTAGATGTTAAGACATTCAGCATCAATCTGTTATCCTTAAAGCAGGTCTCATGATGGTTTACTTTAAAAAAAAAGAAGAAAAAGAAAAGAAAGCAAGTGCAGAAGGATAGGAGACCACTTATATAATGCTTTAAAATGTAAATATTATTATATAATACTTTAATATGTAAATATTTGCTTATCACAAACCATGTTTACATTCTAAACATGTAAAAATTCTTAATTCATAATACTGATTACTGGTATGGAGGGACAGACATGGTTCTTTTTAAAATACATATTTTTTTATTGATTTCAGAGAGGAAGGAGAGAGAGATAGAAACATCAATGTTGAGAGAGAATCATTGATCAGCTGCCTCCTGCACAACCCACACTGGGATCAAGCCCACAACCCAGACATGTGCCCTGACCGGGAATCAAACTGTGACCTCCTGGTTCATAGGTCGACACTCAACCACTGAGCCATGCAGGTCAGGCAGAAATGGTTTTTAAAAACTTCAGATTATAATTTCTCATATACTTATGTTTAATGAGACAGTATTTTATATTTAGACCTGAATGTTTTTCAACATACACTAATACCACCTATATACTGGTAATAATAAAATTGTCATATTATTCAGATTAATTACCAATTTTAAAAATTCTTATCTTGGAGTAAAGGAATTGAAATGATTTGGAAATTGTTCTTTTAATCCTAAAACTCTATATTCTTTGAATTTTATATTAAAAGCTCTCAAATTTAGTATATGCTTATTTGGGGGATTAAATGCTTATTTTTAAGGGAATGTCTAAGGTTCTCAGCAGTATTTGTAAGTTAGAGTCTTAGGGTTTAAACCTGACTTTGGGTTAAGCTCTGGGAAGGAAAGGATGATTCATAGGCACCTTGAAACAGCCACTTATCCCACATGAAGGAAGGAGCAGATACACTCTGAGGCAGTGGTTCTCAACCTTCCTAATGCCGCGACCCTTTAATACAGTTCCTCATGTTGTGGTGACCCCCAATTTCATGGTTACAAATTGAACATTATTAAAGCATAGTGATTAATCACAAAAACAATATGTAATTATATATGTGTTTTCCCTGTGAAAGGGTCATTCGACCCCCAACCAGGTCATGACCCACAGGTTGAGAACCGCTGCCCTAAGGCTTTCAAAATAAAGACCATGCCAAGTACTATCTCTTGAAGTCATGTTATGTTTTCTGTGGAGTGTTAAAAGATAAAAATAAGATTGTGTGAATAACATTCAAGTTTTATGAGTGGATGTGTATAATGCATGAGAATTTGGATGGGTAAATATGCATATATTCTCTTAGAATGATGTACGTTCAGAGTGATTGACTTACCAGAACTGCTGAAATAAGAAAACACACTCCAATTTAATTTGAAATAGTGGGACATTGGCTCTGTTGCACTTATTTTAAATGTATTTATGCCCCACAGTGAGTGGATTCAGTTCATCAATGGCATTGCATTGAAGGCATTCAGAGACTTTCTTTTGTTATTGCAGGTCGAGCGGGAAAAGGCCATTCTTCTGGCCAATCTCCAGGAGTCACAGACGCAGCTGGAACACACCAAGGGGGCGCTGACAGAGCAGCACGAACGGGTGCACCGGCTCACGGAGCACGTGAATGCCATGAGGGGCCTACAGAACAGCAAGGAGCTCAAGACCGAGCTGGATGGGGAGAAGGGCCGGGTCTCAGAGGAAGAGGCACATGATTATGAAGTGGACATCAATGGCTTAGAGATCCTTGAGTGCAAATACAGGGTGGCAGTGACTGAGGTGATCGATTTGAAAGCTGAAATTAAAGCCTTAAAGGAGAAATACAACAAATCTGTAGAAAACTATACTGAAGAAAAGACCAAGTACGAGAGTAAGATCCAAATGTATGATGAGCAGGTGACAAGCCTTGAGAAGACCACCAAGGAGAGTGGAGAGAAGATGGCCCACATGGAGAAGGAATTGCAAAAGATGACCAGCATAGCCAACGAAAATCACAATACCCTTAATACAGCCCAGGATGAGTTGGTGACCTTTAGTGAGGAGCTAGCTCAGCTTTACCACCATGTATGTCTGTGTAATAATGAAACCCCCAACAGGGTCATGCTGGACTACTATAGGCAAAGCAGAGTGACTCGTAGTGGCAGCCTCAAAGGGCCCGATGATCCCAGGGGACTTCTGTCTCCACGGTTAGCCAGGCGGGGGGTGTCATCCCCAGTAGAATCAAGGACCTCCTCTGAACCAATTACAAAAGAAAACACTGAGGCCAGCAAAGAACCGAGTCCAACCAAGACCCCCACTGTCTCTCCTGTAATTACTGCCCCACCGTCATCTCCAGTATTAGATACAAGTGACATCCGCAAAGAGCCAATGAACATCTACAACCTTAATGCCATTATCCGGGACCAAATCAAGCATCTGCAGAAAGCCGTGGACCGGTCCTTGCAACTGTCTCGTCAAAGAGCAGCAGCACGGGAGCTGGCCCCCATGATCGATAAAGACAAGGAAGCCTTAATGGAGGAGATCCTCAAGCTCAAGTCCCTGCTGAGCACCAAACGGGAGCAGATTGCCACCCTGAGGGCCGTGTTGAAAGCCAACAAGCAGGTGATCTCATCCCACTGACCACGCATGCTAGCCAACGCCTTCCTAATGCATTTATTCCTTAATGTTTTTGAGTGTCCACTATCATCAGGATGAGAGTTCAGATTCCTGATCAGTAAGGAAATAAAAACTAAGTTCCAGTACCAGCTCAGAATGTAACAACTATTTTTAATTCAGTGAATGAATGAAATAGGAGAGTCGGTATGGTCCATTCGGTGGAGGTAGAAGTGAGGAGATGAAAGCAGGAACAAAGAAGAAGATCCATGCAGACATAGAAAGGCAGTTCAGGCAGTGCTTAGCTGGAGTCCAGCAGTCATTGCATATGAAAACGGGGGGTGGAGGGGTGGCAGAATAGGCTGGCATGGCAGCTTACACCAGGGAGACACAGCAAGAAAGACACCTGGCAGGCAGCTGGAGCAAATAGGGGAGTTACCTAGAGAGAGAGAGAGGTAGAGAAACAGAGGTAGAGATGGAGGTAGAATGTGCACTCACTCTGCTAGTGACCACACATCTGAAGTTTAGGTTCATTTGGGATGTTAACTCACTTGGGTCAGAGCTTAAGCAGTAGAGAATTTTTCCTAACCACAGATCTTGTCCTCTGGAATAAGTAAGGGTGCTACAACAAGACCCTACCTGACTAATTCCAAGGTCTCCTTGATGACTGGATCTGTTTTCCTGCCTTGGGTTTTTACCTGGGTGGCTATGCTATGAAATACAGACAGGAAAATATTTTTAACCTTTCTTTAGTTTCTCTGGAAAATGAGCATTGAGACATAGATTTGAGGAGAGTGCTAAAAGGGTGTTGATGAAGCAAAGCAACAAAGCATCAGATACCTTCTTACACACGTAAGCAGGGCTAGTGTTAGAGCAGTGATGGCGAACCTATGATGTGTGTCAGAGGTGACACGCAAACTCATTTTTTGGGTTGATTTTTCTTTGTTAAATGGCATTTAAATATATAAAATAAATATCAAAAATATAAGTCTTTGTTTTACTATGGTTGCAAATATCAAAAGATTTCTATATGTGACACGGCACCAGAGTTAAGTTAGGGTTTTTCAAAATGCTGACATGCCGAGCTCAGAAGGTTCACCATCACTGTGTTAGAGGTTAATTTCAGATTTGGAGTTCTTTCTTTTACCTTTGTCTGGGGGAAACCACACTATTATTTTGTCATCTACAGTGCAGCTCTCTAGCACTTTTATCTTCAGTTCCCATAAACCCATTCATATAATTTGGAGGTCTATACCACAAACAATAATATTGCCCACACTATAAACATGTTTTATATAAATCTAAGGGCAAATAGGACCTTCTTTTGTGTCATCAGTTCAGAAAAATAGAAAAGATTAGGGTAAATGGAGAATTTGTGAGAGATCTGAGACTTGAGGTCAGAATTAAGGAATTTGTTACCATAAATTCTGCTACAATCCAAAGACCCAGTGATTTAGAGTGGTCATAAATAATTAATACCATATCAGATAAGACAGCCTTTTTCCAGGACATTATATCCTGGGTGTTCTCGATCAAACCATTCAGATAACTTCTCTAACTTCTTCCTGAAGGTTGAATATTAATAACCTAGAGACCTAGATCTATAAGAAAGTCAAGACACTTAACTGACACAGAGGTTAGATAATAAGGATGGTTGATCAGCCAAGAGAGACTAATTTGTGAGCAAGCACTCATTGATTACATATTTCATGACAGGCAGTAAGTAAGGAGGAAAAAATAAGTGACTAGTAATCTAGTAGGAAGGAGTTCAATAATGCCTATAATTGTCTACAAGATAGTACATATCAAGCACTTAAGAATGGTATAAACAGTGCCATAGGAATTCAGAGCAGAACAAAGCATTTCTGGCTATGGTACCATTTGCATTATGTAACTGTCATAGCCTTTATGGACTCAGTAAATTAAATGAGAACACATTTCTAGCCATGCATTTAGTTTACATTTTAATGATGCTGGGCCTATTGCTGTGATGCATATATGCCATAAATAGCTTCAAGGGTCTACCCGTGACATTCATTATATTTCTGCATGTGGAATGTAAATTATTAAGGCTAAGGTGAGAATTCTGTGATAAAGGAAAAGGAATTTTCTATTTTAAAATAGTTTTCTGCATTCTCTATGAATCTTTTAATATACTTGAGGATTTTTTTTTGTAAGCACAGTGTCTTCTGATGAACAAGCAAATGTTTATGAAGTACCATCTGTCTACTAAACTGTGCTAGATGCTAAAGATTCAAAGACTCATCCATGGTCCCTGCCCCCTCCCCCCCCCCCCCCCCACCCCGCGCCACCCCACAACCAAGGTAGGGAGGACTCACAGACCAGTGGGGAAGTCAGAATAGAAACATAATTACAGCTTGATGTTATCCGTGCTGTAATTGAGTTATGGGAACATTGCAGAGGAAGTAACTAATGTCTTTTAGAAGAGTTCGAGAAAACTTCATAGAAGGAATTATTCCTGTGTCTGTTCTTAAAGGATGAGGAGTTGTTTTCTAGAAGAGGAGGAAATAATTCCAGAACAGTAGGCGGTAGAGGCACAGAATAGAAAGATATATTTAAAGAGTGATTTTGAAGGTCTCTGTGGCTAGAAACAAGATTTTTATTTAGAAAGTATACTTTGGGAGTGTTTAAAGGATATAGCAAATGCTGCTGATGCCAACAAATGTACTAATGGGTTATATATAGACACTTAGAATTACTTAATTCTGAAAAAGTGTTGTACAGTCTGTGGACAAATAAATCAACAATGCTGAATTCTTTGGGGGCATTTCTCACAAATAATAAATAACTTTGTACTTCTATTTCAGATCTTGTTTTTCTGTCGTTCCCCCCACTCACCCTTGCCACTCAACTCTCCTTAGTTAACTGACCACATGGCTCCATATGCTTACAAATTTGTTACATCTGCATTTGCACAACTTAAACTTAACTCTCTGTTCTAAGTGAATATGTGTATAATTTATTTTTAAAAATTTAAAACGGCCATTTCCCCAGGTCAACTTCTGCATTCCAGACAATTTTCTGAATTTATAATATTTCTGAAGATTCCACTAAGTGATAGCACTACAGGGCATATTGAACTATTTTATGAGTAATTTCTCATTTCAATTTGAATTTAAATTCAATCAAAGGAACTACTTTATAATCAAAACATGAACAAACTACTCCATCGCAACATTGCTTTAATTGAAAAAAGAATTCATTTACCTCCATAGAAGTTGTGCTTTGCTTAAGAAAACTGAAGTCCATTTCAAGCACAAAAAGAAATGTTAAAAACCAGGGTAGTCTTCCTGGGAAATCATATTAGTAATGGATTTTTTTTTCATTAGTAAGGGACTTTTTCATTAGTATTGAATATTTTTACACAGCCTGAAAGCTGTCGTTAGCAGTTTGTAAAAATGGTATGTTTCCAGTTTGGCTTCTGTATGCATACCATGTGCTATGCACCTAATATTCAGTCCCTAAATATACATTCATTTCATTAATAGATTCACTCAACATTTTTAAATTTTACTTCCTGCCATGTGTCAGGCTAGTTCTCAATTTGAAACACTACTTATTCTTAGAACTTCAGACATGCCCAAATTCAAATAAATATTTCAGTTCATTCACCATTTTGGAATTTTTGCTTTTATGGGGATTGTGAAGACTTAAATTTGACTATTCAGATTTGATTATTTTTATTGTTATCTGATTATTAAAATTTGATTATTAATTTTGACTATAGTTCACTGTTTTGAAGAACTTGTATGCAAAGGCATCAGAAATCATTGGTTCTTTGTTAATTTTTTTCCTTAAACATAAAATATGGATTGATAGTTTATGTAGTCATCATAAATTGCAATGGACTACATCAAGCATAGCAAACTCAAAGGCTAACACAGGCCAAATAAGGTTTAAGTTTATGTGGGCCACAAAAAAACAAAAGCTTCAATTTTCATAGAAACATCAGTTTGTTTCAATAGAGATATGCTGACTACAAAGGGCTGAAATAAATGAGTAATTGTTAGCATAAAATAATAGAACATTTTAATAAAAATTAATATTTTTTGAACATTAACTTACCAGACACTGAATAACTGCACAAATTAATAAGCATAATGTAAATAGTCCTACTTTTCTTGTTCTCCAAAAGTGAAATATTCCCTGTTGTGCACAAGTCAGTCCAAGACTATGACGTAGCAATCGGCTGCTAAAATATTCGCTGCTAGTATTAATGGAGAGAAATGGTGCGCCTACACTTAAGGTGTGTAAGGGTAATGAATGAGACACGATTATAGTAATCAGCAAAATTTGTAGTTCTTTATTAACAATCATGTATAACAGCATATTGTTATAAAATTAAGTTACAAAATTTTTATTAAAACATTTCTTACATACTGTTATATTGGCTGGGCTACAAAAATATTCATTGTAGACTGCATGCGGCCTGCAGGCCGCAAGTTTGACATGCTTGGTCTACATCTTTTATTCTGTTTGTTTCGGGCCCACAGAACTCAGGTGACACAAAAATATTTGAGTTCTATTACATTACAGTTGGAAGCAGTACTTTTCCCCTAACTTTTCCTTGATAAAATTCTTCTTGTGTAAAGTTTCATTTTGGCTTCTTCATGTCTGAAAAGCCTACAGTCTCAACTATCTGCATTAAATATTTACTGAACTATCATTGCCTTTGCTCTTAATACTGATTCAGGTTCATGGCTGGCTTCTAGGGCAATTTCACCATATGGATTCACAACACGTTTTGACATTAAAGAAAAACTGCCTTAAGTCCAAAATACATACCTGTTTATATAAAATACTAGAGGCCTAGTGCACAGAAATTTGTGCACTCGGGGGGTGGGGGTGGGGAGGGGTGTCCCTCAGGCCTGTGCCCAGGGCTGTTTTCAGGCTGGTGGGCGACTGAAGCTCCCAGCCTCTCCTTTTTTCTTTTTATTCTGGGATTTATTTACCTTCTATAATTGAAACTTTGTTGCTGTCACTGGAGCTGAGAGCTGGCTCCTGCTCGCTGCAGCTCTGAGGCCACAGCCTGCTGAAAGCAGGTATCTGGGGTTTGTTTAGCTTCTATAATTGAAACTTTGTTGCTTTCAGAGCTCAGAGCCGGGTCACGGCAGATGGGGAACATTGGCTTCCTCCATCACTGGAGCAAGCAAGCCTCTTGCTCGCTTCAGCTGCATGGCTGCCCGGCGTCATCTTGGTTGGGTTAATTTGCATACCGTGCTGATTAGCCAATGGGAGGCATAGAGAAGGTACGGTTAATTACCATGTTTGTCTATTATTAGATAGGATAACCAAGTCCATTTCACCTCCGTTTATGAAAGAAAGTAATATTCCCAGCATGAAGAAATCTCTGATAGATTTTCCTGATATGAAAGTTGTAAGCATTGTGATTTTTCCACTTTAGACAGCTGAGGTGGCACTAGCTAATCTCAAGAACAAATATGAAAATGAGAAAGCAATGGTGACTGAAACGATGACGAAACTTAGAAATGAACTGAAGGCTCTGAAAGAAGATGCAGCAACTTTCTCATCCCTGAGAGCAATGTTTGCAACAAGGTAATCGTTTTTTCTTCCAAGATTAGGTGTGGTACATGGGGGAAGACTTTGAAATTCACATGGGTATCTTCCTGCATCCTGAGTGTGTAAGTTGTGAAAACAGGAGAGACTCCACTCTGACAAACCTGATATGAGCTCTCGTGCTGTTTTCCAGAGCACTCTACTGGACACACTGGATCAAGCAATTCCTTTACACAGAAGTGTTTTTAAATATTAATACAAGAGACATTTTTTCTATTTTTTTTATATTTACAATAGAACTTATGTACCCAAAAGAATTAGACACACAAAAGAAATCTCCAACAAGGGGAAAAGTCCTACTTGCTAAAGTAGCTAAATATTATCACCACTGAAATTCACTATCACCAAAGTGCTAATCATTAATAAATATAATATGAGAAAGATACCATTATAATGGAGATTAATATTCATCATACCAGCTAATTACTTAGAATTAAATACACTGATGAAAATACAACTTTTAAAGTGTAATTATATCACCAAATTTTGACATTGCCCAAGTAATTAGATACTTATTAATTACTACCCTCCCACCTCCCTTCATTATTTGGTGCCACTGTATTTTGTTTTTAAACTTGAAGTGATTATTAAGAACCTGTTGATTCAAGGCATTTGAAATCCTGAGATTCTCAATATGTGACCTTTTTTTGCTGTCACAATTTATTGCCAAAATAAAAAGTTATATATCTTATATGATGCAAACTTGATACAAAGTTCACAAAGCATCACTATGCCTTTATTTGCAGATTCATTAAATAATTTACATGTAGCTGATATAAGTATAAAACAAACTCCTGGGCTGAGCCTGGGAATCTGTCCAGCTTTCTTGTAGTGTCAGGAGAGAAAGGCTCAAACTCGTACTCTGTGATTGACTCTCAGAGATGGCAGTGAGGAGGCTGAGTGCCCGATGGACCCCAGGGGTGTGGGGAACTGAAGCATATGAGATTGGGGAGAATAAACGTACCTCTGACCACTGTGAGAGGAGGCAGGATAGAGAATTCAGATGGTACACATACCCCTCACTGATGAAAGAAACCAATCAGGATGATATGTAGAATCAAGAACACAAACTTCCTCTTTGGAAAAGAAATCAAACCTTTTTAAAAGGACATTAAAAGTCTGAATCTGGTTTATATAAGAATTATTTCCCCCATATAGAGCATTTTCACAGAAATTTGTCTTATTTTGGGGGTAGTAATTGCCTTATTTACTCCATAGTATTTTTAAAAATATTGTTATCTAACCAATTAAAATAAATCCAGGATCCTGAAATTCACATTGTATTTTACTAAGCCCTGGATTTTCTTATGATATCGCTACATGTTTCTTGAATTCAAAGTTAAAGAAAATGGGAACCCATCCAGATCTCAAGTTCTTTCACTATAGGGCCTGTTTTTTTCTTTAAAATGCCATAAGGTTTGTGCTGATTCCAAAGTGTGTACAATACATTTTGGACTACTCCACAAAGTCATCAACTATCTATTGGTACATAAAAAGTACTTGTTATTATTACTATCTTAGTGGGTAAATAAACTCAGAAAAACTCTAATTATGTGAATAACTAGAGGCCCAGTGCACGAATTCGTGCATGGGTGGGATCCCTCAGCCTGGCCGGCAATCCGGGCCATCTTGTCCAGTCCCGATTGGGGCAATGGGGGCCGGCTGGTATCCGGGCCATCTTGTCCAGTCCCGATTGGGGCTATGGGGGCCGGCTGGTGGGGAGGGGCCATAGGAAGGCTCCAGGGCATGTCCAAATCCGGGCCATCTTGTCCAGTCCCGATTGGGGCTATGGGGGCCGGCTGGTGGGGAGGGGCCGCAGGAAGGCTCCAGGGCATGTCCGACCCTCTCTCTCACTCCCAATCAGCCAGACCCCAGCAGCAAGCTAACCTGGTCGGAGTGTCTGCCACCTGGTGGTCAGTGCACATCATAGCGACTAGTCAAGCAGTTGACCGAACTCAACTGATAGGTCGAACACTTAGCATATTACACTTTTATTATGTAGGATTCTTTCTCCCAACTGTATGTGTGCTCAGGTTTTACTTTTGATGGGGATAAACGACCAATGAGCATATCTTCCTGCTGCAGCACAAATCCTAGGCTCATGTTGGCTTTCTTTGACACTTATTGCTTAATCATCTGGTTGAGAAATCATTGAAAAGACTCAGGTTTTTAATTCAAACAAATCTGCTTGCAGTGGTAGCTGCAATCTATATTCAATTAAAATAGAACCTATATACTGCCAAAACCAGTTTGGCTCAGTGGATAGAGCGTCGGCCTGCAGACTGAGGGGTCCCAGGTTCGATTCCGGTCAAGGGCATGTACCTGGGTTGCAGGCACATCCCCAGTAGGAGATGTGCAGGAGGCAGCTGATCGATGTTTCTCTCTCATCGATGTTTCTAACTCTCTATCTCTCTCCCTTCCTCTCTGTAAAAAATTAATAAAATATATTAAAAAAAATAGAACCTATATTTGGCTCAGTGGATAGAGCATTGGCCTGCAGACTCAAGGGTCCCAGGTTCAATTCCGGTCAAGGGCATGTACCTTGGTTGCGGGCACATCCCCAGTGGGAAGTGTGCAGGAGGCAGTTGATCAGTGTTTCTCTCTCATCGATGTTTCTGGCTCTCTATCCCTCTCCCTTCCTCTCTGTAAAAAAATCAATACAATATATTTTTTAAAAAGTTATTAAAATAGAGCCTATAAATATAGATAAAGAAGGAAATGTTTTCTTTACAAACATTATTATTCTTTTGCATGCTACCGGCATAGCCTATAACAAACTTGTCACACTCCTCCGAAGAACACATCATACAATAGGAAAAGCCACCTGTAACTCGCCTGAGATGCTATGCACGCTGCCTGAGACTTTCCTGCTTAATCCTGTGCCACCATGCAGCAGCCCCACAATAAGGGGTTTAAGACGTCACCTATTAAGAATGTCCCCAGCCCAGCCAGTGTGGCTCCTTGGCTGAGTGTTGACCTATGAACCAGGAAGTCACTGTTCAATGCCCCAGTTGTGGGCTCAATCCGCAGTAGGGGGAGTGCAGGAGGCAACTGATCAATGATTTTCTCTCATCATTGATGTTTCTTTCTCTCTCTCTCTCTCTCTCTCCCTTCCTCTCTGAAATCTATAAAAAATATATTTTTTTAAAAAAGAATGTCCCCTTATGTACTCCATGATGAACCATCAATTATGGAATCTGCTCTACTGTTTCTAATTTTCTGCTAGAGTAGGTTACCTTGATTCTGCTCTAAGAAGACCAGTGTGTTCCAGTAAAATCCATTCCTTTTTCATTGAAATCCGACTTCAGTTTCGCCCAGGTTTTTCCCCTGACCATGTTTCTGTTTTGGTTCCAGATGTGATGAGTACGTCACACAGTTGGATGAGATGCAGAGACAGTTAGCAGCCGCAGAGGACGAGAAGAAGACTCTAAATACTTTGTTACGAATGGCTATCCAGCAAAAACTCGCCCTGACCCAGCGGCTGGAGGACTTAGAATTTGACCATGAGCAGTCGAGACGCAGCAAAGGCAAATTTGGAAAAAGCAAGATCGGCAGCCCTAAAGTAAGTGGGGAGGCCTCAGGCATCGTGCCCACCATAGACACTTACCTCCTGCATAGTCAGGGCCCACAGACACCCATCATTCGGGGCAGCAGTGGCACTCAGAGGAAAAGGTATGCATGCAGCAATCTTCATAGTGTGGTGCAGTGGCCAGATGTTAGTTAACTGCAAAAATTGATGTGTTCTTGTTGTGGAGGATGGAGGAAGGGAAGGAAGAGAAAAACTGGGAGTGGGTGTATAAATGGGCCTTGCTACTGTTGGTTTTTTTAAAAATCAAAAACGTTTAATAATTATATTTATTTACTCATTTCTGTCCCTCACACCCACCTCTTAATTAACCATAAAATAACTTTTGTGTCTGTCAACATTTTTGCTGTTCCTTATACACACAAATATACCTCTCCCTTACCTCCAGCCTAAAAATTGGTAGATAAAAGATGGATATTAAGAAAGATGGTGTATTTTACATGGATGGTCATTTTAAAAATCATTGTACCTCTGGTAATGGTGCTTTTAGTAGCTTCTCTTTAATGGGACAAGGATATGGATATGTTCTCTGAGGGAACTTTTGTTTGTGTTACCAAAACTGATGGCTGACTAAAGGAGATGTCTACATTTAGGTAAAGTGGGATGGAATGTGTATAGTCCTTTTCTTTAAAGCAGGTTTTTGTGCGTTTTCATTTGGTATGTCAATATTGCTCCAAGAAATCACCTGTAAGGTTGTCAGTGGCTTTTCTGACCCTTTTCCCCCGGAGTCCTGGATGTTGAATTACTTACCCTCTATTTTTCAGTTAATAGTAAGATTTTTAATTTAGGAGCTTTCAGTAAGAAATCAAATTATATCCATATTTTCTTATTTGTGGTTCAAACTAACTATAATAAATCTCTTTCGCAGTTTCCAATACAGTTTCTAAATGGGGTTGTATCCTGGTGTGGAAACGAAGCCATTAGCAAAATAAAAAATCTTGATTTACATGTTAACAAAATTAAATGCCAATATAAGTAATGTTGTCACTGGTGAGGCTTTGAAAGGTAATTAAAGTAAAACTTTTTTGTTTCCTATATGTATTTTCTTGGATCTCCTGCAAGACAATTCTCACCTTCCCTTTGTGATCAGAGCCGTCCCAGGACTTCAGGGGCTTCCTACCTACAGACTTTATTAAGCGTTCCCCCTGACCCCACCTCCACAGAGTCATTTCTTCTGAAGGGCCCCCCTTCCATGAGTGAATTCATCCAAGGGCACCGGCTCAGCAAGGAAAAAAGGTTAACGGTGGCTCCACCAGGTAAACATTTTTTCCTTGAGTGCATGTGACGCAAATGATGAGTTGAGTAGACAGCCCTCCCTCCCTTCCAGCCACTCCCGCCCACCCATCCACAGAGCCTCACTTTGATGACCGGGAAGTTCCTACCTCTCCACTGAGAACACCTTTACACGTAGCCTCCTGGGTCCTCCTTTCCTCGGCCAGACCACCCGTCCTTAGGAGTCTCCAGGGACTTGCTTTTAGCCGCCGAGGGTGGAAAATGAGAGTTGGAAGGAACAGGATAGGTAACCGGAAACTTGCCACAGGCTGGTGCCATGCAGGACACACGCCTGCATCCTGTTTGCCATTTGGTAGCTCCTAGCATTTCCATCTTGGTCAAAATTTGTCGTTTTGTTCTGATCATTTTTAACAAAAAGCCGCTGGGGCGAATTTCCTTTTTGTAGTGACTCAGAATGTTTCCTCAATCATTACAGACAAATAAAAGTAAAATCCTCCGAGGTTTTGCTCCTCAGGAACATTCAAGTCTTAACGGTGATGTTCTTGCCGTTTGCGAGCCCATATGCTCACAAGTTACTACAGCTTCACCATTTTGCATTTTTTCTTTTTCTTTGGCCTGTGAAGGGCCTCAATTGAAAACGTGACTTCTGGCAAATAAAGATAACAGAGGGGGCACACCAGGAAGCCCATGGCACAAAACAAGCCCAAGGGCATCCATTATTTGGCTATTCAGGGAATGAAAAATTAAAACTAGTTAAGTTAGTTGTCAACAGAAGCACAGAGATTTCACGTGGGCATCTACATTTCTGGTCTCCCTTGAACGATTCTGAATATCTGGTAGCCCTGGGTCTGCTTCATGCATGTCAGCAACCTGTTAGGACTGTGGACTGGTTGCTACTTTTAAACAGGGCCAGCTTTGCCGTGGCCACCACCCCTCTCCCCCCATCACTTGTACCCAGCCTGCTGCACGCGTTTCTGTTACCGTCTGGTCCCTGCTGTCGCCTTTGAGTTTCCCACCTTTGCCACAGCTTTTCTTTTTTTCTTTCTTCAATTTACTTCTTAATTTAATTAATTTACTCCTACTTAATTTACTTCAATTTTACCTTAATTGCTTTTTGGAAACCTCAGCCTTTGGATCGCTAATACTTGCCTTATCTGATTCATGAAGCAGCCTACTGATTGGGATGAAGAGATGTGTGGAAATGTACAGCACATGTTCAACATTCTAAGAATGTTTGAGAAACCGATAGTGACAATGAGTTAGAAGAGCCTGAAAGTCAAAATGTACATCTAAAAAAAAAAAAGGCAACAACTCCGTGGGTGTTTCTACATCCACAGCTCATTTCCTATTGTTTTAGAGCCCACTGGGAGGTACCTTGAAGTACCTGTGAGTTACCAACGTAGTAAGGACCCATTAGGACACTTAACTTGAATAAAACCCCACAAGTCTTTTTAGTGTTCCACATAGATTGAGTAGCACTGTCTACTAGAACTTAGAATTCTATTATATAATTGGTGAGTAAGCCTAGTATTTTAATTTGAAAGGTGTCATCTCAGTATGATTAAGAATTAATAATAAAGATGAACAATAACTATTTTCATTTTGTATATGACTGTTTGACCATTGTATTCATGAATATATGTTTTATGTTATTGTCATTACATTGTGGAAACCATTAACATTATATCATAAGCTTTTCCATGCTGCCTAGTCTTGTTTTTAAAGGTTGTGTCATACATTTTATGTAGATGTTGTCACATTAATCACTACTTCCTCTCTTGTTAACCACTGAGATAGTTTTCCATTATTTATCATATTGTAGAATACCACTGAGAATATCCTCATGCATCCCACTCCTCATCGATTCAATTTTTTCTTGAGTGAGATCACTGGGTTAATAGTATGAACTTCTGTATGTGTTTGCTCCATTTTGATATTGCTGTCACAAAGGGTGTATCAATGTACTAAAAGCCCCATAAAAAATTTTTCTCATTTTCATACAGTCTGATTCTTTATATACACTTTACACATCTTGCAACTCTAAGGCTAGTAAACATACATGAATGAGAGGACCATTATGTTGTCTTAAACTGTTTAGTTTAGAATAACCAGAAAATGACATTGGACTTAGAAATTATTGCTATACGCAAGATTAAAGATACAAATAATGTGAAATTCAGAATCACCCTTAGGCCAGAGAAGCACTTTCATGATAACAAACAGGTTATCATCATGTTTGATAAACTTTATTTTTAATAATTTATTTGAAGTTAATAGTAAAAGTGGGGAGTAAGTAAAGTTGTTAATATTTCCCAAGGAATTTTCAATTGTATATCATGAAATCAACCAGATTCACCCCTAATAAATTCTTAGATCAATCCAGCAGCATTTTCTAAAAGGTTCCAGTTAAGTGAATTACTGTAGAAACTGAGTAACTGTCTATACCAAATTGTAGCTTATAAAAATATTTGCACTATTGACTATATGTTATTTTTCATACACTGAACTAAATTGGGTAAGATGTAGTAAACATTATTTATGATGTTTTTACTATAAAAATATTTTAATTAGGCTGAGAAAAGAAAAATATGCCATATATAACCAATCCTAGGTTCTATGCAAGAAATATCTTAAACCCATGGAAAGTAATCAATTTTATGAGTATTTTTTATTTGTAAATTTATGTTATTGATTATTATAAAAGTTAGTGGCTAGTAACAATATATAGTCATCATTTTTAAAGGACAGTTCACTGTTAATTTATCAGAATGGTTTTTGGTAAACCTTGTCTTCTAAAATGTGTTTTCAATATATCTTTTCAGGTAATTTAAATTAGTCTAATAAGCACATACATGGGTTGTTTTTCTATTGAGGATCATTGAAATAATTAAATCAATAAAATGAAATTAATTTAGTTTGGCTCCTTTGGATGAAGAATTGATAGAGCTATAAATCACAGTTAAAGTTTTAAGGCACAGCCTAGCTGGCATGGCTCAGTAGTTGAGCATTGACCTATGAACCAGGAAGTCATGGTTCAATTCCCAGTCAGGGCACATGCCTGGGTTGAGGTCTTGATCCCCAATATGGAACATGCAGGAGGCAGCTGGTCAATGATTCCCTCTCATCATTGTTGTTTCTCTCTCTCCCTCTCCCTTCCTTTCTGAAATCAATAAAAATATATTTAAAACTATTTTTAAGGCACAGAATGTAAACTATTATTTACCATATAAAGAGCTATTTCTATGAGATGGTCAGCAGCAAGCCCCATCTTCTTCAAGGCCCAATTTCTCACTTTCTGGAGAGTCAGCTCTAGGATGGGCATGGATCTTAAAAATTAGAAGAATGTTTTGTACGAATTGATTAGTGCTTTGTACTAATAGATTTACAACCTTTTAGAGGAAAATTGTGGCCCTTGCTTTAGCTTTGGCTCAGTCTCTGCTGCCTCGGCCTCTGAAATTCTGTTTCTGCGCATGGCTTGTTGGCTTTTTTATTCTTGACTTTATCCTTATCCTGATGTACAAACTCCAGGTCCTCCCACATCTCTATCAGCTTTGATGCACTGGAATCAAGAGGGACCCGCCCTGGCCGCCATGGCTCAATGGTGAGAGGGTTGGCTCCACCGAACGGTCTCAGGTTTGATTCCCAGTTAAGGGCACATATCTAAGTTGCATGGACCATTCAGGAGACAACCAGTCGATGTGTCTCTCTCACATTGATGTTTCTCTCTCTCTCTCTCTCCCCTC